GAAACGGTCGTCCAGTGCACCAGGTCTAACAATGATTCTTGATTTCAATATATGCTATGATGTTTACGAATGGCATAGGTAAGAGCAGGTTATTATTCAGTCGGTCAGTTAAACGTAACGTAGAACCTGGTACATGTGTACACAGGTTCAAGTTATTATATTTTAAATAGCACAGAGAGATTAAATTTTACAGTGAAACCTAGAGTTTCGAAGAAGTAACAGTATTGGTGATAACAGAACAGATTTAGTTGAATATAATGATAATCTGAGGAGTTCAGCAGTTTCGAAAGTGGAGATAGTAAAAAGTGAGTGCAGCTGCGCCACTACACATAATTTTAATCCTTATCATTCAGTCTCTAACCACTGGTTACGATAATTAAATGGACTCTAATCAGGGAATTTGAACCTACTGACATAGTTCAGTTTAATTGTCATGAAGAATATTCAAAATTTACTTTGGCCGCCCATACCTCTCTGTTCCACTCTACCTCTACACCATACAACATTGCTTGTCAAGGTAGGTAGGTAGTTGGGTATACATACTACATATCCCATGAATTGATTGCTCAGTGATCCTAAAATACATGAGCCAAGATATGTGAGGTAGTCGATATGCTCAACTATTTCACTAGCTAGCATTAATTCAGTCAATGACATACTCCAGTCATGAAACAACATTTTGCATTTTAAGAGAGAAAATCACATCCCAAATATACTTGTATTGTTGCTTCAGGTGGTCAGAAGATTGGATATTCTACGTTAACAAATGAATCTCTTGATAGAAGAGTAATCTTTAAAAAGTTAATTAGTCAACTATTAATACAAATGTACAATATTAAAATGAATTATATTACATTGAAGTTCATAGGCAAAGTGTTATACTTTGATATTGAGATTGTTGAGGATACATCATCATCAATGATGTTATTTCCGAATGTTGTTATCAAAATATGACGAATAGAATAGAACAACAGAGAACAACATCACAGGCAATGATAGACAGTTACACATATGACTGTGAACTGATTGAAATTAGACCAGCACAACAGTGGAGGTTAAGTGCAATCACTGCGAGACAGAGGGTCCAGGGTTCGATCCTTCGTGGAGTTGCAGATGGGTACCGCTAAAAAGTCCTGTACTTCGAACGAAACTCTGTTACTTAATGGCTTAACAAATAATAAGGTACTACACTAGATCATATAAAGAAAAGAACAAAGTAATCATGTGAACTTACCTATCATAGGAAGAATAACCATTCTGTTGAAGAAAATCATCTTTAATAATACGTGCAACTTCCAGCGTGATTTTATCTGCTTCTGCAAGAGATGCCTATATATATATAGATATATACATGGAAAACAGTGAGTAATCATCATTAATCAAAATGTAAATTAAGATGATTTTGAATAAAAGAAATAATATAAACAAACATATAGGCCTAATACCAAATAGAATGGAAATGACATGTTAATCTGCATGCTTTTGAGTTGTAGTGATAATTGTACGGGAATAGTGATTCATATATGAATACTAAAATCCAGGTGATTCCAGTAGTCAGAAAAAACGTAGAACTACGTACGTATGTCCATTAGTTTAAGTTGTCATACCACATCAGCTAGCACATACAGATGGAATGGTCAATTCAAATCCCATAGTCGTGGAGGTAGTAAAAGTGTAGTGAAGGAGAACACAGGTGAGGGCAACCGAATTGTATTTAACGAAAATTACAGAGTTACTCAGTAAAAAATAGGAAAACCATATCGTAAACGGTTAATTTGCAAATCTTCAATCTATCATCAATCCATTGTCTGACATTTCACCACTGTTCATGCGTTTCATATAAATTCCATTGTGTTCCCGCTCTTCCTTTCTCTTGATCTTCCCCCATCTTCTGCTGCCAGACATTACGTTTACACTCACGTCATATACTACTTATAAGTAGCGCGCACCACAAAAGTATTTGCAGTAATCGAAAAAAAGTTTAGGCTTCGAAGCTATGTGGCGAGAAGTATAATCCAATGAAATGTATTTAACAAGAGATAAAAGGTCATTCAGTATTCAAGAGTTTAGAATTTCAGAGGAAACAAGCACAAGAAACACAAGCCTCATGACAAAAAACAACTTTTACACATGTCATTCTAGGTGCCTCACAACCGGTAGGTAAAGCTGGGGATATACAACTGCAACTGAACGAATAACAGCCAAAACATGTACAGAGATGTCTATCTATATGCTACATTTAAAAAAATTAATACCATGCAATGCAGATTTACGCACTAGTGTGTGTGTGTGTCTGTGTATCAATGTGAGGATCAATGCAAATTAACTGAAAATCCATATGTTGAATGGTTCCCCGCAGTGAAAGTATAAATTAGAATTGAATATGACTTTCTAATAAGCTGTGTATTGGATAAAGACAATCCTGTATGCATTAAATTGTATATATATATCTATACGTCGAAAATGAAATGTACCGACTTCATTATTAAAAAAATGTGATATCACTGAGATTACACATACAACAACAAACAACACCACCATATATAAAGAAATTTTCTTAATTTCTGTATTGCTAAAAATGTCACTAATTATTAGAAAGTATGTTATTCAAAAATATTTTTTTTTGTAATTGAGTCGAATTATCTATTTAAAAGGTTTTGTTGGGCTGAAAAAAAATGGACTAAAGGATTTCAACTGAAAATTCGATTATCAACAATAAAGGTGAAGTTTAATTTTCAGTCTAATTTAACAGATCATCAAGTCGAATAGTGTTTATGAGATGTTTGCTTATGAAGTGATTATATGATATATGATGACGAATCACGAATTAAATTGTAGAATTTTTGTTTAGAAAGATAATCAATCATGACATAAGTATCAGATCATTTATTTATAATAAATCTTTTCAACAATGAATGATAGATCTGATTGCCTAACCACTTTTAATAGCCTCTACACGGAAACTGGAATACATGAGAAAAGCAGAGAAATGCGAACGGTTTACTGTATGGGTGGTAGTTTCATTATAGAATATAGGGAGTATTTATAGAGTTATACATGATCTTGAGATTCTGGAAGATTCCGAAACGATCGCAAATATGGCACGGATGATATAGGTACGTATCCATTCAGTCAGTCAGTCATTCAGATGCAACGTAGAACTTCGTACGTAAGTACATCAGTTCATGTTGCCATACCACATCAGCACACAGATATAATTGTCAATTCAAATCCAATAGTAGAAGAGTTAGTAAGGGTATTAGAAGTAATCGGAGAGGTTAGAATTAGAAGATATTATTCAAGAAGTATGATTCAGTGCGAAAAGTTTACAAAGTTGAAGAATCCAAAAGATTAGGATTTGAGAGAACACAAAGAATAAATGCACCTGCGCCATTGCGAATGATTTTGAGCCATGTCATTCAAGGTCTCTAACCATCGATTATTATCATCTCGCGGACACCAACCAGGTAGTCGACAATTACCAACATGGCTAAGTCCATTCGTCAATTATTACATAGATTTGCTGCCATGTTTTGGTTTGGCCGCCCCCTAACTTTCTTTCAACCTACTCCTACACTACAAAACAAAGCTCTTCGAGGCAGTCGGTGGTCGGGCATACGTAACACATGTCTCAACCACCTCAACTGATGAAGTTTCAATACTTCATCTATTGATCTTCCATTCTTACCTAGCACCCGATTCCTAATAACAGCGTTGCTCACTCGGGTTTCCCACAATACACGAGCAATGCTTCCAAGACACCTACGATCGAAAACCAGTAACCTACGAATATCTTCTACTCTCATTAACCATGTTTCACAGCCATAAAGTAAGACGGAGCGAACGTATCCATTCAAATTGGAAGTACATGATTCTTGATCTTCTAAATACTTCTGTGAAGGTCATATTCTATGCCGATTAGATAAAACGTTTCCAATGGTTTTCTGGGTCCCTATAGACTTTTCCAGGCAATGCTTCGGGGCTACGAAACTATTTATAAAGGACTTGTTTATAAACTGAAATTTGACGCAAACCTTTTTCTTGTGATGACCAATGATATTGCCAGGAAAATAAATATTAAGGTGTGGTGCCTCCACATATATACCAGTTCGCTAACATCTATCTAATTTGGTTAAGCCCTTTAGATTAATTTATTTAACCAAGCCAATTTGTATTGCACCAATTTATATGTACCATTCGTTCTTATTATTGTCTGGTCTGTATGAGCTAACATGACGTGTCCCACTTCTCATTTGACCTTGTCAACTATTCGTCGCTTTTATTCATATGTGCCTATTTCGTTTCTCTGTCTTATATTTGTCTGACAATATATTCGTTCGCATTGTAATCCTACGAGTTGGCTTAACAGCCTTCTCCAATTCACGTCGCTTCATTCGTTTTATTCACTGCTTCTCCGCTTCGCTTTGTAGTGTGTCCCAAATAAACGTATTCATCACAGCGAGTTCATCTTTTGATTTATAAACCGTCAGACGCTAGTTATTAACGATTGTCTGAATGAGCTAATTACCGAGCTTAAGAACACGCAGTAACACGACACACTACAAAGGGAGTTCAACCCTGTTCATGTGTGAAGCAGTGGCTCACCGAGGACAGTAGATGAAGTTGTGAATGACCTAGGATCGATTCAAGTTAGACATTAACGCTGTCGGATGCCCACACATCGGTCTAAAGGTTAAACGTTCACATGCGATACCGAAGGTCCTTGATTCGATTCCCGCATGGATACGCACTTATGATGAGTCTCATACTATAAGGACGAAAACAGTCGGCCAATGCTCGATCATGATCGATTCATGTTTTCAATGAAAAACTCAACAATCTTCACAACCCTATGATGCAAACACTGTAAAAGGGTTCTCTATAGTGGGGGGGGGGCGGCGAGACCTCTACACTTACTACCACTCAGTCCTATCATCACTGCATAAATTTAGCCAATTTCCATAACAGAAAACCACAAACCAACAACAACAACAACTTACTTTACCAACTAATTGTACAATTTCTGATAATTCTTCTTCTTCTTGTAAAATCTCTTGCATTTTAGTACGTAAACCAACGAATTCTGGAAAATTTCTATCAAAATAATCATCCAATACACGTAGATATTTTGAATAAGATATAAGCCAATTGACACTGGGAAAATGTTTACGTTGAGCTAGTTTTTTATCTAATCCCCAAAATACCTTTTTAAAGAAAAGATGTAGAAGAAGAAAAATTAATAAATAATACAAAACAGCAAATTCAAGGTGTAGTTAGTGTAAATTGTTTATGTTAAGATATTCACCAAATATCCTAAGAGTACTATTTTTGGAAGTATAATCCTATTGGTCGATTTCTATTGGTCAAAATTATGGTCGTTTTAACTGTCATAGTCAAATACTTCAATGTTATCTCTGATTGGTCTTCCTAAACTGTCAATGTCACAGACTTTGATGCTCTTTCCTATTCGACCTTAATATGTAAATATGCACTCTCTGTAAGACTTCAGGATTCCGATTCTTCCTGCCTACTTCTCTTCTGTACTCGACCCAATAAACAACTCCATCCTACGTTGTTGCGTTCTGATATATAGGAGATTTGGAAATAATATTTGGGTCGTAATGGGATATTTAAATTTGGACGCCGCTAGGACTGAATAGCTGTAGGGAGCAGCGTTATTACAGTTGATTAAAGAGTTGTATAGAATACATAATGAAAATTATAAATCACATAGATAATAATTTAAATGTAGACAACGTTGAATAGTTTTATACTGCATCAAAATGTAGGACTCTTCAGAAAGATATGATTGAGGAACCTATGAGAAATAGAAACCAGGGACTTCATGTTTAGTAACGATTGTTTAACACTTATAACTCCGCCTGAAGCCCCCCCTGGGGTTACTGCCGGTTCCAAGCCCGCATAAAGAAGTAGGGTTAGGTATGAGGTTAGGGAGACTTTATCCCGTAGAAATTCAACTCGATGAAAAAAACGCTAACCAGAAATGGTCGGCAGCCTATGTTCCATTTGGAGTTACAGGCGTAAGTAAGTATGTATGTATGATATTCGAAGAACATAGATGTTTTTTAGGAAAAACCGGTAAAAAAAGACTTAAACAAAAAAATTGTTAACTTCAAAAGACTTCACACAATAAAACTACTTTAATATACTACTTATTTGTTCATTTACATTGAGAGATATATAAAGGAAAGGGAATGTATTATAGTATTGTGATGATAATTCCAGTTTTAATAAATTGTATTCCATAGTGTTTGTGAACAACAGTAACACATAATTGACAACGATAAAGAACCAATGATTTAAATATTGACATATTCAGCTTTATATGAGTAAGTCGTGAATTTGTTGAACACTCTCATCTATTACTAGTTCACATCACTAATCTTTACATAAACAGAAAATTATGTAGCTCAAAATCGTCTGCAATGGTGCAGATGCATCCATTCTCTTTGTCTTTTCTTGAATTCCTCACCGCCTTCATCTTTCTCTTTTTAAATTTATCTCACTGAATTATACTTCTACAATAATACCTTCGAACCCTAATCTTCTCCATTACAGCTAATAATTCTACTACCTCTAGTACTATGGGATTTGAATCGACAATTACGTCTCTGTGCTAATGTGGTATGATGACTTGAACTGATGTACGGTACGTACGAAGTTCTACGTTGTAAGCGACAGACTGCACAACTGTAGCTAAAAGCTGAGTGTCCATAAATATTAGTTATATTGATAAAAGAGTAAAATAAAGTTAATCCTGAAGTTAGATGCAGAGATATTAGGTGATAACCAGTCGATTGTTGAGCAAGTGAATCTTTATCGACTGAGGCGGTTTGGACATGCTGCCCACCGCGACATTTTATGTACCTTGTCGTGGTGGTCGGGTTTGCCTATCGTGATCACTCAACCGAGCTATGTTGGCTGGAACATATATTCCTGTAAGTTCTAACATGCCAGGCAGGTGGATTGGAGAACGATGAGACTAAAAACGGCTACTCAAAGTCTGAGGACGAAGTCGTAGTGCTGACTGACTGTACAGGGGTGTGATAGTAGTAAGGCGCTTCCCTCGGACAACCAGCATCTGCAGTGATGCTGCATTTTTACAAGGAAATGGTTAGAAATGGTGGGCCGTAAAAATGTCACACCTCGCCTTACCACCTTACGGATTTCCGTCTCCGGTGGTGAGGCCTTTTAAACAAGAGTGGAGCTAACACTCATAAAACACCGTGCGTAACCGGCCTCAAGCAGTTGTCCCCTGAGCTCTACGGTTACGCTCCCAGGACTCTAAGACCAACACCCTTCCATGGTGTGGGTAGCCCGGAAGTGACATACGCCCTCATACCACCAACCGATTCTCTAATCTTCCTCAGGATATAACATAATGTTTGAATACACACATCATATGCTTCACAATTGATTGGGATAACAAATATGAATTTAATCTTTCGCTTAAAATATTAATACTTTTTATCCTGTAAATTTATTCATTCTTTCCGTATCCTACTATCATCATCTATGCTCACAATCCTTCCTACTCATAATAATTCCCACTACACATTGGAATTTGTTTTATGAATTACATTTTGATTGTACTGATCTATACAAATATGCCAACTTGAACTGATGTATAAATAATATCAACTAAATAATTTAGTTAACTAGTAGAATTCGTGCTATTCCATACAATTATTATTTGTAGGTTATGAAAGAGAAAAATCTGAGCAAAGGTTGTTCATACAGACAGACAGACAGATAGATACAACGCAGAATTTCGTACGTAAGTAACATCAGTTCAGGTTGCTATACCACATTAGCACAAAGACGCAAGGTTGTTCATGAAATCAAAGTATCACTCGCTACCACCACTAACAAAATGATTGTGTTTAACATACAATATATCAACATTATTATCGTTATTATTATTATTATTATTACTTTAAGTAAAGAGTCATCAAACAAATCGATCAGATCGATAATAAAGTTTAAAGGTCAAGAATAAATAAAATGCACAGAGTGTAGTATACATGATTAATGTAATTGTGCCAGGCACATTTATTTTGCGTGTGTAATTTAATTTAAGTTGACAGTAGTACAATGTTAACGTGGTGAATACCTTTTTCTTTTTTTTTTTAAAAATAGATGAGTTTTTTGATCAATAATTTTCTACAGAGTGTCTGTAGTATAATTGTGATCATTTCTAATTGCTCTAAGTTCATTTATTATCAGCATTTTAGTTAATTTTTAAACGAAAGAATAAAATCATTAGTGGCTTGTAGAGATTGGTCAGATACATTGAAATCATAAAAATCGATCATTGTAAGAGAACTAACTGAAGAATCTGCAAGCACTGGATGGCCGTTCTATCTTAGTATGGGACTCATCAACGATTTCAGCTATTGTGCCTTCAGTGGGTAAATATGCTTCATACTCGACACGGTTGTACCTCACTGGTTATGGCTTCTAACTAGAATTCCAATGATGGTCGTGTAATATCGTTGATTGGTTCATGTTAGACATTACCACCACAGGATGTCAAGCTCAGTAGTCGAGAGATGAAGCATTCGCGCGTGAGGTCGAAGCTCCTAGGTTCGATTTCCACATGTGGGGTCGTTGATGAGTCCTATACTAGGATTTGATGGCCATTCAGTGCCTCTAGGTTTCTAATGGTGGTTTTACATTGATCGATTCATAATTTCAATGAAAAAGCAATAAACCTTTATTAATTTAAAGTAGAACAAATATAAGGAATTCAACAGATATAAAAAGTAAACTAGTCAAGATAAACGTCTTAAATCCTTGTAAAAATAAAACTAAATCAAAAGAATTGGGAGTTTAGAAGAGATGAAATCAAACAATACAAAGTAGGAATAGTAGAATTTTAAATTTTTAAGCACGTGACGAATGGATTTATCTGGTTCCTATGAACATATCACTTAAAATCTTCAAAGAGAGTTAATATTACCTAGAGAATCAAACTGCATCTCTTGAAACAGATCAGATAAAAGGTCAATGAGACCACAGACTAATGCTACCTTGGTCTGGTTGCCACTGGCTTTTTACAACCAACTCTAGTTCTAGTGAACGTAACGTATAAATAACTACTTACACCTGTGAAGGAGAACACAGGTGAGGGCAACCGAATTGTATTTATCGCAAATTACAGAGTTATTGTTAAAATAGAAAAACCATATCGTATATCGTTAATTTGCAAAATATCTATCCATCATATCGAACTGGACTGTTCCTGTTGCAAACATCAATCCATTGTCTGACATTTCACTGTTCATGCGTTTCATACAAATCCCATTGTGTTCTAACTCTTCCTTTCTTGATCTTCCCCCATCTTCTGCTGCCAGACATTACGTTTTTACTCGCGTCATATACTACTTATAAGTAGCGCGCACCAGACTCGTCCCCCCCTTTTAATAAGCTGTAGTCGTAGTCTTTCTGATCGCCGTACCACTGTCTTCTTCGGTGCTTTCCGTGACTAACACACTTGATAATCTTGAAACTACCTCTGCAGTTGACTGGCATTTACAAGCTTCTGCTTGTCTTCTCTCCGGATCGTGTACACCGCGCCAATTCTCTTCGTGATAACGTACGGTCCTGCCCACTTTGGGATCAGCTTTCCCCACCCTGATCCCCCTACTATGCTACTTTTTTGTTCCCTACACTTTATTAGGTCCCCCACTGCAAAAGGTTTCCACGTTCTCCTCTGTTGTTCCGCCTTCTTACCGTCTCATATTTGTTTAAAACCATATTAAACGATTTCACATTTTCAACTCACGCTCTCTACACGTCTAACTCCAACATATGAGTCGATTGATAGCTTCACCATGAGCAAACAACAATGCTTTAAACATATTTATGACCAAACACTAGAAATCTACATATATCCACAAGGTTTGAGGTCCATTATTGACAAATCGATGTATTATATACTTGGTTTTTAGGAGGCAAACAGACACTTCATCTATGACAGTTTCCATGGCTTGACGAAAACCAATCAAATAATTGCTGCATCTATCAGTCAGTCAGTGAGATGCAACTACCCAGATAAGTGAAGAGGTCAACACGCTCGACTATTTCATTCCCTATCACTAGTTCAGGTGCCGATGCAACCCAATCTTGAAGCAACATTTTGCATTTCGAGGGGGAAAACCGCATCCCGAACATGCTCGCA